TTTCTCCTCCTCCTTCCTGTTTTCTCGTATAACCGCCGGCGATTCTCGATGGCTGCTAGCTAGGCTTCCAGTCGTCTTCACGATCCAGTATCGATCACGAGGCACGGCCGATTCCGGCCGATTCGACTCCGTGCTTTCATCTGTTTCCAGCCAACGCGCGTCGACTCTCGCTCCTCGGTCCTTGCTCGCAATCGCGGTCACTGGGTTTACGGAGTAATCCAGTCGTGAGTCCGCGAGATTCGTACGACGAGCAGAACTCTCGCGGCAAAACGACGAGCGTCGTTGCCGCGGATTTTTTGATCTCTTCGCGAGACGAAACTCTTTTCAATTCGCCGAACCACGACCGCGTCGACGAAAACTCCTCTTTCCCGCGTCTTGTTTTTGTCGCGAGCGTGTTTCATTCAGACCCGAGCCCCTCGCCTACGTATGATAAACGGTGAATAAACAATCAGGCAACGTCCTCTTTTTCCATTTTTATCCCCGTCTTGCGTTATTTAAATATCCTGTCAAGTCTATTTTCAGCCTCTCCCGGACATGGCGGATGCTAAAGACGCGGCATCGATGCATTTACCAGCGGCCTTTGTACGGCTCCTACTCCCGCTCGAGTACAGTCTACACTGTCTATGGTTAGTGAGAATCGGTGAAGCACCCTTTCCCGGTAACTCGTCCTGCCTGTATCATCGTCGTCGTTGTCAGGAGGGAGCCATGTCTCTTGAATTTCTCTGTGGCGAAACGCGTGCGCTATCGCCGATCCCTCTCGTCGACGTTTTCGCGATCAATTCCCCCCGAAAACTCGGCGAGATATACCTCACCGACAGAGATTACTTCCTACGTCAGCGTCTATCGTTTCGATTCGTCGAGATCGTGACTTCAAGGAGAAAAAAAAAAAAAAAAAAAAAAAAAAGAAAAATCCATCTCCTCGGGATAGAGGTTAACAATACCTTGGCGTTGACTCTATTTCTTTTCCAAGTTCCCGGTTCGAGTCTCCGTCTCTTCGAGTAGTCCAGTCGATACGGTTTGTTTCGTCGATAGTTCGACCGATCACTTTCAATCCATCTGCCCCTTCTGCCGTACCACGAAACCGAGTCTCCATTGAGGACTCGCGGGCTCCTCTTTCGTTCTCCCGCGCCAAACCGCAAGATCGTGCAAGATCCCTGTCCCGATAAGTTTTTAATTCCGTCAAAGTGTGGCGAACAGACAGAGAGAGAGAGAGAGAGAGAGAGAGAGAGAGAGGAGTCTTTTTTGCGAAAGCGTTGCCTGGAAGTTGAAAGAGTCTGGCGCGCACATTCGGCTGCGTTCCCACGGGAGGATCCGGAACGGTGAGAGGTAGGAGATGTGGGGACGGGGGGCGGGGAAGCGAAGGTGTCGGAG